GCAGAAGGAAGATTTCTGCATTCCTGCACGGCTGTGGAGAACAAGGGCTGAGCAGCACGTCCAGAAAGGGACAGGCCAGTTTCCTCGACAGCCTTCTCCCGTGGCCCTCCCCATAACGCCCGTTCACCTTGCAGCCTTCTCAGCAAGCTCTTTCAAGGTGCAGCCCCCTGGGTTTGAGGCTCGTTAGCCATGCAAGTCGTCCATATTGTTATGCCAGGACTTCTTGCACCCCGCTGTGCTGTAGCCACAACAGTGTCCCTCTAGGGAAGGGGCAGGCAGTCTGGAAGATACAATGGTCCTGCGTTCCATTGCAAAACGTTGGTTTGATTCTCCGGGTCCTGAATTACCTCTTAGAACCCTTGGCTTGCACAGCTCTGCAAATGTGATTCCTCTGTACTGCACCTTGACGTTGGCATTTCACTGTCTGTGACAGTGGCGCTGGGTTCCCTTTGGGATCATGACCTCATTTTGCACGCTGGGGCTCCAGAGGCAGCCCAGAAACCCAGCTGGCTCATCAGTCTTGGATTAGGTCAGCCTCTGTCAAGCCAGGTTCCCTCCAGGTGGTTTAGAGTGCAAACCCCATTGTCTCTGAACAGGGAGAGCTTTGGAAGTGGGGACGTTTAGAAGAAGGAGGGCGAGGGGGAGATGGAGATGGAACAGGCTGTCTGAGGCTGAAGGGAGCTGTAGCCTCAAACACTGGAGGGCCCCGATTTAAAGGAGGCTGTGTTAAGTTGTGCAGCCAGTCTGTTTGGGAATTGGATGCTTCCACTCTCGGTCAAGCCCCGTTTATGGCCCATATCCCTGGCAAATCGCTGACCCAGGTTTTTCATGCATGGCGATATTCGTACTTGTCTACAGGCACTATCAGTGGCAGTAACACGAATGACATTGCTCTGGAAGAAGCTTAGTTCTGAGCTACGTGCGAGGAGTCCAGCTAAAATTGCATCCTGTTTGTGCACAACGCACACCCCTTCTGTTGTGCAAACGATTGCACATTTCATTTCTGCAAGCAGGTATAGGCTGCTCGTGGAACCAAAGCACCTGGCAGAGACCTGCTAGTGCATTTGGAGCTTGAGGAATGACGCTGCTGGATGCGGCCCGGCGAACAGATTTCTTGAGCAGGGAGCTGCCTGGCTGAGATGGGCACCCCTAGCGCCTTCCGAAATATTCACTCCACGTCGACTTCTTGCACATTCGGTTATTGAGATTGAAATGGATTGAACGGGCTTCGTCCCTGCTTGATGGGCTCCATATACTCATCCCTGTGAAGGTGCAGTGTTTGTTTTATTGTGGCACTAACGTTAAATGAGCAAAACTGACTGGCACTTGTGTTAGCAGATGTATTTGTTCCCCTGAGTCAATACTTTCTAGAAGCACCTTTGGCAGCACTTCCACCTGTGAGCACTTGGGCTTTGCTGCTCACAAAGTGTTTTGTCAGCAGGCCAAAAAGTCCCATTTCAATTGCATCAGGCCAGAGAACCTTCTCCCGCATGTTTTCTGTGTCTCCCGCATGACTTTTTTTGCAAGTTCTACACCAGCTTTCACAGGGGCTTGTTTCAGCCACTCTTCCGTGCTTTGTTCTCCCAACTCAGCTTCAGATCTCCCCAGCTCCATCAGAAGTTTCGGCTGCTCTCTTGGATGCTTCTCTGAGCAATGCCCAGCCACTGGGGTTGGGTTGGTGCCGTCTCCATGCGGAGTCACAATTGAGACATAGAATCACAGAGGTAGAGGGAGCCAAACCGAAGCTCAATCCAGACAAGACGGAGGTCCTGTTGGTTGGTGGATCGGGCTTCGGGGAGGGTGAATTGAACCTAGTCCTGAATGGGGTTGCACTCCCTCTTAGGGACAAGGTCCGCAGCCTGGGAGTGCTCCTCGACCCAGAGCTTTCACTGGAAGCTCAGGTGACAGCGGTGGCGAGGAGCGCTTTCCTTCAGCTTCAGCTGATTAATCAGCTGCGCCCCTACCTGGAGTACGACTGCCTCGCGACAGTGACACATGCATTGGTGACTTCCCGCCTTGACTTCTGTAACGTGCTCTACGTGGGGCTGCCCTTGAAGACGGTCCGGATACTTCAACTGGTTCAAAATAGAGCTGCCAGGCTGCTGACGGGGACTGGGCGTTATGTTCACATGACTCCAGTCCTCCGTCAGCTTCACTGGCTTCCCATTGAAGTCCGGGCCCAATTCAAGGTGTTGGTGATGACCTATAAAGCCCTAAACGGCTTGGGACCTGGTTACCTGAAGGAGCGCTTACGTCCATATATGCCCGCCCGCCCCTTGAGATCAGCAGCAGAGGCCCTTCTCCGGGAACCCTCCGTGAAGGAAATTAGGAGGGTAAGTACTCAGAGGAGGGCTTTCTCTGCGGTGGCGCCCAATCTATGGAATGCGCTCCCCAGAGAGGTCCGCCTGGCGCCGTCGTTATTTGTTTTTTGGTGCCAGGCGAAGACCTTTTTATTCAAACATCATTTTAACTGTTAATAGTATTTATTAATTTTATTTTTGGCCAGGGCGACTTATTTTATATTGTTAACTTGTTTTATATTGTTAATTTATAGTATTTTAATCGATTTATTTGTAAGCCGCCCCGAGGCTTCGGCGAATGGGGCGGCATAGAAATTTTCTAAACAAAGAAGAGGGCCATCGGGACCAACCCCCTGCTCAGGGCAGCTCTCCCAGACTCAAGCCGCCCCTCGCAGAGGGCTGCCCAGCTGCCTCTTGAATGCCTCCAGTGCGGGAGGGAGGGAGAGCCGAGCGCAGCCGCCCTACTCCTCATTCCCGTTGTCGCACTGCTCTAACAATCAGGAAGTTCTTCCTGGTCTCCAGCCGGAATCAGGCTTCCTGTAACCTGAGCCCGTGTCCTGCACTCTGGGAGGATCGAGGAGAAATCCTGGCCTTGCATATTCTTTCTGTTTTGTAATGACAGATTTAACGGTGCTCCAGGGGATGGTCATAAATTGGGATTTCATGTTTTCTAACCTGGCCCTGACTGCTGCTGCTGCTTCACAGCGTGTGTCCCAGGGTTGCTCCGAGAGCCGCTTGATCATTATGGTGCGGCTGGTCTAGATAGGAGCTCCAGCAAATGCCGGGCCTTCCGGAAACGGGGACTTCGCACCAGAGATCGTGGCACCGGCGCTGCACACAGAGGCCTCCGTTCCACTCCTCACGGTGCCTGTGGGGCTTCTGGAGGCTGCGCGTTGCCCCGGAGCTGGCTGGGCATGTCGGAGCAAAAGGGGGCAGGCTCTGTCTGCAACCCACAAGCCCCAGTCTGTTTTTGTCGACTTAACTCGTGGGGCACGGTGAAAATATTTTGCACCTTCGCGGTGTTGCATTTCATGTGTGCCTCGAATGGTCTCAGTGCCGATGCAGTCCATTTCTGTGCCGAGGTGTAACCGGCTGTGGAAGAGTCGGGTGACAGGAAAGGAATCCTTTTGCGAGGCGCTGGATGTAAACCTGTGTGCGTGGGTGCAACAAGGTTTTGCTCTGTTTTCCTTCCATGCCCTTAACCTTGCATTCGGACAGTCAGTGTTGATGAATGGCTTCTGAGTCACAGGCCTCACGTCAAGCTAAGAGGCGCGCTTGGCAGCACAGGCCACTACAAGACTGAAGGGCTGTTGTGTCGCAATCTTCTGCGCTGCATTTACATCCTGCCTCTTTTTCCTTGCCTGGTTCTCTGCGCCATTTTTATCGCATCAGGCTGAGAGTGAAGGACTGGCCCGACATCTCCCCATTAGCTCCGTGAGCAAGAGTGGTCTAGATCCCCCGTCTCCGAGGTCCCCAGTCCAGCACCCTGACCACCACGTCACACTCGCATGAGACCCCCTGAGTATGCAGACACGTGTGCGTTTCGAGCTGAAAAATGGGCTTAAACAAGAGCACGGACTGCCCACCAGAAGGCTTTCAACCCCAGAGAACTCATAAAGGCAGGGGGCACCCACTGGTCCAAAACATCTGGAGGGCACCAGGCTGGGGAAGCCTGATCGGAAGAACAGAAGTCAGCGGACTGGTGCATCTAGTAACATTTTCTGTGGTTGCGAAGCCTTGGGGGAATGTTAGGAACTGTTCCTTGTCTTTGCCTCTGGCATCTTTACCCAGGTATAGTCCCTAGAGGGGACGATGAATGATTGTTTTCCAGACTAGCTGAAGCCCTGAACAAGAGCACCCTGTAGAAGCTGGAAATAAATCGGCAACAGTCTCTTTCCAGGCGTAATGCCTTTGGTCATCCCTGCAGGGCATGACGTGTGCATGTGGCTCGTGACTGGCTCAGGTCGGTCAGTGAACACTCTGGCTGGCAAGGTTGTGAGCCTAGTTGTACTTGCCCCAAGGCCAACAGATTAGCCATCACTTGCCACACCGACCTGTTTTGCATGGCATAGCAACGGATTGTGGGTTTGTAGCCACGATCGGCTGAATCAAGGCAGCTTCCTGTAGGCTGGCGTTTCTTCTTCAAACAAGGCACCCTGACAACCCATGGGCCACTGCAGAGTTTTTGCTCATGGTGGTTGTCATGCCATCTAAACCCAGACAGCTGATCCCACTGTAAGTCAAGGGAAGTGGAGAGCGAAGTGCAAAGCAAGAGTGGAAAATACCTTTGCCGGTCTTAACAATCTTGCTTTGCTGCCGGTGGTGCAGCCCCTCCAAGGGACCCACCTGACACACTGGGGGAGGTGTCACTGGTAGGAGTCAGTCTCCTAGTGGGTTTACCTTTTTCTTTACTTTCCCCTGTCTGCTGTCAACAGGTGAGTTGTGAAGGGAATTGGTGGGATTTCACTCACCACCCTTAAAGTTTCCTTTTTAAAAAGTAAGAAAAGGAGATTCCTGTGATTAGTTTTACAATTGGCAGTAGAATTGCAGCGGTGGGGGAATTTGGGTGCTGTTCGTTACTGGGTGAGCAGGATCCGCCCGGGTCTGCTTCCCTCTGGGTAGATGGCATGGATGGAGAAGGAGGCTCGTCACCCCTCTGCTCTTCTTGCCTCCCCTGACCGGTTTTTCTCTTCCCTTCAGGTGATAAAGCGAACAGGGAAAGGAAGAGAAGGTGGAGATGGAACTGTCAAACCATGCCAAACAACTGCTGCTGCAGCTGAACCAGCAACGAGCCAAAGGTTTCCTCTGTGATGTGATCATCGTCGTAGAAAATGCCCTTTTCCGTGCCCATAAGAATATCCTGGCAGCCAGTAGCATGTATTTCAAATCCCTCGTCCTGCACGACAACCTGATCAACTTAGATACTGACATGGTCAACCCTACTGTGTTCCGGCAGATCTTGGACTTTATTTATACTGGCAAGCTCTTAATGACCGACCAGCCTGGGGAACAGAACTTTAATGCTCTCCTCACCGCCGCAAGCTACCTCCAACTCCCCGACTTAGCCGCCCTTTGCCGGAAGAAGCTGAAACGCAACGGGAGGTCCTTCGCTGGCAGGGCCGGCGGCACCCCCAGTGTGGGGAGACCCCCTCGGAGTCAAAGACTTTCCACCACTTCGGTCATCACGCGTTATTCAGGGTCCACCGAGGGGATGAAGGGCTCTCACTCCAAGGAGATGCCAAAGGGAAAGATCTCGGACGACGAGCTCTTCCTCAGCAGCTCCAACCAAGAGAATCCGCACGCCTTGAGCAGGGGAATCAGCAAGAACGGAGGCGATGGGAGCAGTGGCAGTGGGGACCAGGAACTGGGCCTCGACCTGTCCAAGAAGAGCCCCTCGCTCCCCCCCGCTGCCTCCCAGGACGACGCGCAGCGCAGCGAAAGCCAGCGTGGTTCCCCCCGACCTGCCTCAGCCCCCACAGCCAACAGTGCCTCATCCTTCGAAGAGTCCGCCGCCGGAGCGCCCCCAAACCTGGCCGACAACTGTGAACCCATGGAAATGGACCTGGGCGAGGACCGGCAGCCGCTCCCGGAGGGCAACCAGCGGAAGAGCCTGCGCCATTCGTCCCGCAAGAAGGAGTGGATCAAGAAGGACAGTGCCTTCGACCGGAAGGAGGGCGGCGGCAAAGGCGGCGAGGAGAGCGAGGGGCTGCCCAACGGGATCCCGGTGGGCCCCTTGTGCAAGTCGGCGGAGCGGGGCCTAGGCCTGGGTGCCTACGGGTCGGAGCTGCCCTTTCCCTGCAAAGAGGACGTGGAGAACGGGAAGGAGAACAGCGACGAGAGCGGGCAGAGCGAGAGCGAGAGCGGCGGGCACACGAGTGCCAACTACGTCTACCGGCAGGAAGGCTACGAGCCGGTGGCCTTTGGGGACAACCTGTACGTTTGCATCCCGTGCGGGAAGGGCTTCCCCAGCTCCGAGCAGCTGAACGCCCATGTGGAGAAACATACTGAGGAGGACCTCTACATCAAGGAGGAAGGGACATACGACGAGAAGGAGGAAGAGGCCGAGGATCTGTCCAACCCCAACCAGCCCTACACCACAGAATCCCGGCCCTTCAAGTGCTCCGTGTGCGAGAAGAGCTACAAAGATCCGGCCACCCTCCGGCAGCACGAGAAGACTCACTGGCTGACGCGGCCGTTCCCTTGCAACATCTGCGGCAAGATGTTCACGCAGCGGGGCACCATGACGCGGCACATGCGCAGCCACCTGGGCCTCAAGCCCTTCGCGTGCGAGGAGTGCGGGATGCGCTTCACCCGGCAGTACCGGCTGACGGAACACATGCGCGTCCACTCAGGGGAGAAGCCCTACGAATGTCAGCTCTGCGGCGGGAAGTTCACCCAGCAGCGTAACCTCATCAGCCACCTGCGAATGCATACCTCTCCCACATAAAACCAAAGACACTGCAAGAAGGTCTGAGCCCCCCGGCCATAGAGATAACCTTTCCCCAGACCTGCTGCTTTAAAAACAAAACGGAAAAGGAAAGAAACGAAACGAAAAACGAAGGGCCGTTCCCTTCCCTGTTCAGTCATGGGGGAGTCGCTCAACCAAACAGAGCTTTATTTCTTTCTCTTCCCCCTCCCTCTCCCCTTCCCCCCCTCCACCAAATATACAAAGAAAAAAGCACCCCCCTTTAAGCTGCTCCCCCCTCCCCATGTTTGCGTTTTCCTGCTGTCCAGGCATAGTGCGCCCTGCCAGTGTCCTGCTAGCTTGAGGGGAAAGGTCTGTGAGCCCAGGTAGCCGGGGACAGAGAGAGGAAGGGAGAGAAGGTTTTCCCCCCCAGCTGATGCTTTTTGGAAACCTGGCCCCCTCTTTGAGCCTGAAAGGAGGGGCCTGGTCACTTCCCCCCTCTCTCTTTGCTTTCTTAGCACTTTGGACTCGTAATTACAAAGCGCAGTCCCGGTGTGATGCCCATTGCGCTCGTTGACCTTGGCTGATCCAAATGAGCCCACAGCTTATCAGCGGGCGCTCGTCTCCCCAGGAGCCCCCGTGCAGTTTTTGCTTTGGGTTTTGCTTTGTTTTCTCCTTTTGGTAGTCCTTCCAAGACTCCTCCCTCAGAAAAGGACAGATGCCATGGCCATTGGCTGAAGCAGAGAAGAGTTTTCTCGGTGGCATGATCCATGCACGGGCTTCTCCGCAAGTTGTAAGAGGAATGGTATCAGCCGGAACGTGGCGTTCCCCAGTCTGCCCACCTTTTCCGTGGCGGAGCGTGTCCATTTTAATGTTGGCACAGCAAACACGTACCTCTTCTCCTCTAACCTCATCACCCCCCCTCCTCTCAACCTCTTTAGCCTTATCCATGACTGAATGGGGGCTGGGTGCCCCCTGGGGAATTTCTTTCACATGAGCAGGGGTCATTTTTGTTGTTTTCCCTACTAATTTTGTATGAATATTCTTTGCTTAGAGGTACTTGTTTTATTAAGAGAGAAACAAACCGTTGTTAACGTTTATGTCATTGTTGGAACTGGAAGGTCTGAGGTAAACTGTATGGAGCAGGTGGGAAGTAGGCAAGATTTAGGCTGGGATTGCTACAAGTTCCTTTAGGTACTTTTTTCTATTATTATTATTTTGTGCGTGCATGCGTGCGTCGGTGTGTGTGCGTGCGTGCATATGCGTGTTTAGTTTTTTTCTCCCTCACTAAAGAACGGGTCAGAATGGATAGCCCTGTTCCCTTTGCTACCTCTTGAATTCATGAGAACAATAAGATGGTTAGTGAAATATTAGGTGTGGCGTTTTGTTCTCCCTTGTCCTTTCCCACCGCAAAATTGTAAGTAAGTGTACAAAGTAGAGATTAAATTAAAAGTTAAGGGATTTTTTTTTTACCACCTTGTCCTTCCATCAAGAAGTCAGCTAAAATAATTATACAAAAAAACTTGGCCAAAGACAATAGGTATATTATAACCAGGCAGGCCCGAGTGAATAGCGCTTGTAGGGGTTACTGGTTTTCACCAAATTACTGATTTTGTTTTTCTCTATCCGTGAGGAAACTTGTTTTTTTAATGAGCTTTTGGGCTCTTTCCAGCCTCGTTTATTGAACCTGGATGCTGTGGGTGGAAAATGTCTCTTCCCCGTGGCTTTCCCAGTGCATCTGGGTTAGCACAGAACCATCCGACGGGTGAGAGACCGACCTAGCCGGCGACAAGTCGCTGAAGTCCAGAGTGCAATATACACATGGGGGAAGCCCAACCAAAGTGTTTCATATCCTCCCTTTTTTTTAGGGGTTGTGGGTGTGCGGTTTTCTGCTTTTATTGTCGTTGTTGTTGTTTGTTGTTATTATTAAGGAAATCTTAACACGTGCACACAAGTTGGAAAAATGGAAGAGAGACCATTCTCACAGCATCCGTAGAAGACATCACGGCCAACAGCTGCTATAGGTTAGGAGAAGAGGAGCAGGCTTCCACCTGCCATTTTGTGGCCCCTCGTCTTGGTTGGCGTGAACTTTTGTGCAAAGTGATGGCTTCCCCCCCACACACACACCACACACACTTATTCGGGTGGACTGCGGTGGTAAAAATGTTGCAGTCCCTTTAGAACCCTGTCTAAATTGAGTAAGGTTTACATGTTTTTTTCCTCTTTAACTTCCTTGTTCAAAACCATTGTTCTTTTTATGATGCTGATTAATATTAATATTAATATTATTATTATTATTGGTAGGGTTTACCAAAGCCCTGTGTCTTCTTTTTTTCTTAAGAAAAAGAAAAAGAAAAAAAACTTTTTTGTCTTTTTATGTTTAGACCAAAAAAAAAAAAAAAAGGTGAGCATGTTCGAATAAAAGATGAGCTTTCTTTTCTTCTTTTTCTTCTCCCTCCCACGCCTTTAAATGCCCCCCCCCCCATTAAGAGAGTGACTAATCTGTAAAAGTATTCTGGGTCACTTTGAATGGATCAAAGACATCTTGTGTCCAGAGCATCATGTATGCAGGTTAAACCTATCCGTGTTGAACTTGGACGTGGGACAGGAAATGCAGTTTGCTTTCCCCTCCATCATCCTACAGAGCTGTGCCCCACTCATCCCTGGGGGCTGCTTGATAACTCCATCTACCCCCCCCCCGTTATTCAAGTGCCACAATTTCACTTTCGCTCGATGTTGTGGGTCACTAACAGAGCACTAATGTGAAAAGAAATCCCTCGCACTCTCATCTTATCAAATGATGCTTTCTCCTTCTTTTTTTAAATATCATTGCCTGCTTTATGGGGGGCGGGGTAATGAAGCAAAGTAAATGCCCCCGGTGAACCTTCACCTGGACAGTGCCATACAATTTGCATGGCGTTCCCAAGTCATGGAGAGCTTCGCTGAAGCTCACTCCGTGCCTGCCCTGCCCCAGCCGGTGCGAGGACGTTCTTGCTGGCGGTGGAGCTTAGAACAGCATGATGGACGGATGGGTTAGTGGACTGTGGTGTCTGGGTTGGATCCCCCAAATGCCTCCTGCGTGGCCCCTATTGAGCTTGGTTCAACAAGGAGGCAGGAGCAGAGCTGCACTGCACCACCAGCCCCAGTGAATTGCAGGCGATCCAGTAGCAACCCGCTGGGTTTTGTGTTCTCCTTGCCAGAAGAGGCCCTCAACCTAGCAACCATGCTGTGATATTTTGGGGTTGAATCCCCTCCATGAGCAGCTTCTGCTCAGGGGCACAGCTGTAAAATTTTTATTTCAGACCCACGTAAACCAGCAGGCTTTGGTTTGTTCCCCACCCTACTGCTCACCTCTCAAATATCCAGACCTTTCCTGACTCTTGAGATGCCTTGGAGCAAAAGACCTGAGCCAGTAATCTGGTGTTTGAAGTCACGAATTGATATCACTCTGCCTTATTCCTACCTCGCCGCCCGCCCCCCTCCAAAGGAAAAGAGGAAGCAGAACAATGCATGGCCTCCTTCCACCACCACAACCCCAAGCCCCAACACCACCAGACACTTCCTGTCGCAGTTACAGAGCGACAGCAATGCTTGCCATTCCATAGTTTCTGTGACGTTCCCCCGCCACACTTCCCCGTCTCCTTCCAACTGGTGTTGACCACAATAAGCGGTAGTGTGACCAAGCTGAAGAGCTGGTAGAAGAGATCCGTGTAAGGTGTGAGAGTAGACCTTTTGCTGAGCCAAGGTAGCAGGTGACTTCCAAGTGGTAGTGTAGAGGTGCGCTCCCACACGTCGAGTTGCGTGTTAGTAGCATCCAGCCATTTACTTCCTGGTGGCGAAAGGGTGCCAAAACTTTTGTCCTGGAAAGTTATGTGAAACCGCATCCTTGTATGCTTGTATTCCCATCGGAATAAGTTGCTGCTTGGTAAAATGTCCATCTTTAGTTATCCAAAGAGGAGCCCAAAAATGTAGTGAGTGCAAAGAGCAAACTATACCTCGATCCTTCCGAATTTTATTAGATTTCAATAGTTGTGTGTGGTGCGGGTGGGTAGAAACATTAGGGTTGGTTTGGAGTTTGTGTTGTTCTGGTTTGAAGTTTTGGAATCTTGAAGTTTCCGGACCCATTTGTGTTGGGGTTGCTTTTCTTTTTATTATAATTAATATTATAATTATTATTAAAGGGGCCTCCTTTTATTTTTATTTCTCCCCTCAGCACTTAAACAATACGACAAAAAGTCTGTGTACAGCGCGAGTATTGTACAAAAATGAAAAAAAGTTTCTCCCTTTTCTTTTTCTCTTTTTTGCAAAAGTAGGTGTGTAGAGTTGTGTTCCATATACCGAATTATGACTTCTTTCCAAATTTTGACAATAATAATGGAAAACCTAATAATACTCAAAAACTTCAGGGACTGTTCAGGACTCATTTAGAGGGTCCAGACACTCAACTGCATTTAGACGACATAGTATTGTATCAAACATTTTCTGTATTTTAATGAAAAAGCAAAACACTAGTTTCATATTTAAGATTTTAAGAATTCTAGGGTTGGGGTGGGGAGGGAATAACTTCTGTTTGTTTGGTTTGGTTTGGTTGTTTTGTCTTTTTTTTTAGTTACAAAAAGAGCCTCCCGAGGACTTTTTTTTTTCCAAAATAAGAATACTGAGGCCTGGCAGCTTAACTAAATGCTTTAGTCAGTTTAGATCAAGAATGTTTTCGGAGTAACAGGAGAGGATAATAAAGTAGGGGGAAAAGTTGTATTAAAAAGATAGCTCATACCCAAATTCACAAAAACTATTTTTTAAACCAAAGCACATTTGAATGAGTATGGAACCTCACTTGGCTCAGAAAAAATACTAATATATTTATCTCATTGTTTACATAAACTTTTACAGTTACAGACCTCAACAGATCTAGGGGCCAGTCAAAATTAATCTTTGCTTTTTCCATTGGTTTAGCTGTCAAAAAGGCTAGAGCAAATGATTTGTGTTTTTCTTATTTAAAAACAATCACCACCTCTTCAGTAGGAACTAATGGATATTCCTGCGCATGGTTAGCGTGCATCAGGCATTGGCCACAGGTGTGGACAACCTGTGGGTTCTCTAGAAGCTGGATTCTCCACTCTGAGCAGCCCCAACCAGCATGGCCAAAGGACAGGGCGATGGGAGTTAAATCGTCCAACCTCTGGAAGACCACAGGTCGTCCTCCCCTCCAGAAGGGGAATAGGTATTTTATAATCCTCAGTGGTTAATACCGTGTGAGTAGAACTGAGATTTTCATTCAGGAAGTTTATAGACAGAATCGTGTCAAGAAAGGTTGAGGAATTCATGAGGATGGGCTTCCATCTGTTAACACGACATGGTATGGAAAGGAGTGGCACGCCCTTTATGGTGAACTTGATGTGACACTGTATTGAAGGGTGTTGTGAGATAGTGGGAGAAGATTAGGAGAGCAGAGTGATCTTTCCTTCAACAATCAGGGATTGGACAGGGAGGATGGGAGTGGAAGATGGTGGAGAAACCCAACATGACACCATTCTTGGAGGCAAGAAGACAAGGCCCTTCACTTTGGCCATAATACCTGGGCGTCATTCTTCTCTCTAACCCCTGCTAATGGGGGAATTGCCAAAAATAAAACCCCTTTTAATCCAGCCTTGGGCTACTCTGAGCAGCCACACAAAGTTTGCAGGAGACACCAAAGAGCTTCTGACAAGTAGGGCTATCTTGGGCATTAGCTTCAGAAAAGTCACGGGCCTCACAGCTGGCCCACCATGCTATCCCAAAATGTCCACAGGTGTTAAAGGGCTTGCGCAACAAATCAAGACTGGGCTTGGAAAGTCTGTGAGGGCTAGTTTCTATGTGGGAGGTGCCCCCACCCCCAAGTTTGGGGCCATGGGCTTATATGCCAAATTGCGTAAGTTATATTGCTCCTCCCCACCTACACAATTCTTTCTGGACAAGTTGGACTAATTCACTCCAGTGAGACTCTTCTGGGGTTTCTACCTGTGATCTCCAAACCCAGCTGGCAATCTGACACTTTCTGGAGGATTCAAGCCATGTTTTTGACTGTTTGCAGGGCACTGTATCCAAGAGACCATGTTGATGCATCCATGCCTGTTGAGACCCATGCTCTGTCCTGCTGCTTGTGTGGTGTCACACGACCCCTTTCCCTCCAGTGGCTTTGTCAGCCTGTGACCTGGGATTGGCTGGATCCCAAGTTGTACTGCTTATGTATGGAAGCACTCTTCGTATACCCTTTTTTTCCCAAAGGAAAAGAGAGAGAGAGAGAGAGAGAGCGAGAGAGAATCCAACAGATCTATAGAAGTATTTCCATGTAAAAAAGGCATGCTTGTTTTTGCATCGTTTAGATAAAAGTAAGAATGATCACCTATGTATAGTTCTGATGCTCCCACCCACAAAAATTATACACAATTTCCCACCTGACAGTTCTTGTTTGATTTAATGCTGTTTTTCCACTTTTTACGCCAAAGCCGCCTCATTTTAAGTAAGCAAAAATAAATAAAACAAAATCTTTGGGGTGAGAAAAAGAGAAGGAGAGGCTGATGGAAAACAAACATATTAATTTTGCCTGGTCTTGAATATCTAACAAAGTTGGTGCAAACACTATTTGACAGTGTTGTTTTTTGTATCAATATATATGTGCAGTAATGAATGTATTTATTTCTCAAGATTCTGTATGCACAGTTTTGCAAGGAGAAAAACTCAAGAGCATCTGCAAATGATGAAAGATGTGTCCGCAGGGTCTTCGCTACAGGATTTCAAAAAAAGTGTTAAAAATGTTTTAAAACTTAAAAAAAATCTCAGAGACTCTCAGTATAGCCATAAACCATAACCTGTGAAGACAATACAAAGACGGGGACATTTGTAGCTTTTTGCATAGAAGACAACTTTGTTTTGCTGTATTTAAATGTTTCCGGTTAAGGTGTCATTCTTATTACAGTTCCGTGTCCTTTTTTTCTCTCATGTTCGTGTGCGTGCGTGTGTGTGTACAAGTGTGTATGTGAGCAAGCGTGTAAAGCACTGATTTTGAACAGTGCAGGTCAAAGTATGGGTTAGCAGTATTTTCATTTTTTTTACCATGTGACTTCTGTTCTAAAATGCAGGAATGTCAGGCTGCAAGGAGGGAAACACCTGGGGATATCTGGGGAAAGAAGGCGAAACCTCTGATCTGGTAATGGGTGGGGTTTTTCCCTGTTTTTCAATTCCCATGGCAAAAGAAACGGGATGGAGAGCAGGCGGAGGCAGTGCTGACCGCCTCCATGCCGGTCCTTGAACGTGGGAGAAGTCCTCCTGTGTCCCCGTCCTGCTCCCCTGACTCCTTTCTCAGTGTTTACAGTCGAAGCAATAATGGGGAAATCCTTTGGCAGAGAGATGGGGCTTAGCCAGGGCAGGGCAGACTGAGCACCCTCTTTGTGGGCGCCAGCAAGGGGAAGGGCTTCTTGCCATCCTGGCGCACGTTCAAGCGTTGCCTGCCACCTCAGGGACAGCTTGCCTGCGTCGTCCTCACCGCGGCGAGCCACGGCCCTCGTGTTCGCTCCGTGCTGTCGGGAGCCAGCCAGTCTTCACCCACATCCCACCGTTGTCTCCGCCCCGTTGGGATCTTCGCGTCCTTGCGCCATGCATCGAAGGAGGAGTGCTGTCCCTGCTGTGTGAGGGATGCTTTAGTGGCACCGAGCAGGGACACTCGGTCTGTGCAGGACCCTCTGGACGCTTGGCTCTTCCGGGCAGAACCAGCCCAGAGTTCTCCCGTGTGCCTGTAAAGGGTCACGACACTTCCCTAGCAGTATTGCTAAATCAAATGGCCCACACACAGCCGCTTTACACGCACCCGTTTACATGCACACCCTTTTTTGTTTTGTGTGTTTTTTTTAAGGGAAAAGCCACGTCCGGAAAGGGCTGCTGGGTTAAGCGTAAGTGTCCACACTCGGACAGGAACACGTGATGCTCAGCCTGACATGTGTTCCCGTTCCATGATGTCCAAATGCAAAACAGCTCAGGAGAATTTGGACAGGAGGGAAAGGCTGGCAGGGAACAGCTTAAACCTCTCATTTGACTCAGGATGCAGCTCTTCTTGCCTTCTTTTTATTTTTTGGGAAAGGAAAGGCCTGTCAGCATAACATCCCGCATCTGCTCTGCAGAACATCCACTTTTGTCCCACAGACTTAAAAAGTAAATCTTCCTTGTGGGACTTAAGACAATACAATTATAAACACCTGGAAATTAAGCCCTTACCAGGGAATTTATGCAGGCAAACCTGATGGGTTTGTCTGTCCATCTCCCCAGGTCACTGCAATGTTGCTGAAATTCCTTTTGGCTAGGGTGCTTGGAAAGCAAAAGCCTTTTTAGCAGAAAAAGTGCAGCTTTGAATATGCAACTTGAAACTGGACAACAGAACTTTCTTAGATGCCTTTGTTCATTTGATGACTGTCCTTTATGCTGTCTAAATCTCTTGCGGACAGAATGTAAAGCATTCCATGTAAATCACCCACTTCTGTCATCTCATATTGACCATCACTGGGGCCCTGATTTCTGGTCCCTTTAAAGCTAAGGCTGGCCTGCCTCTCTTTCTCTCTCATTTTCTGGAACAGCACCCAAAATCAATTACTTCACCTGGAAGGAAAGATGCATCTAGTATCTGGAATGAGAATTCTGACTTTTCCCTAACACATAGCTTCATGTATTATGGGGGATAAATCTCCTTTTCTACCTCACTCATGCAGTGGATGTTGCAATACTTCTGTTGTCTTTCAAAGCTCTTGGAAAAGATTGGGAGGAAGGGAATACATTTTTGTAGGTCTGCCACACTTTGACCCCCCTTTCTCCATCGCCTGGATCACGCAACGTTGAACATGTGTCATGGATGCATTAGCTGCTATATTGTGTCGCTCACCCAGAATTATGTTGGTAGGCTCTAGGTTTGGAGCAAGGTATGCTAGGATATAGGGTTTGCTTTTGCCAATGAACAGGTGGTATGTAGTGGGTGGGTTTTCCTTTGGGTTTTTTATACTTAAAAAGGGGCTCCATCCTAGGTGTGCTTAGACCCAAAACACCTTTTTTGCGGGACCTTCCTTGGTCTAAACCCAGCTAGGATTATGCACCTGATAACTTTATCAGTTACAACATGTTGGCAGTATTTCCACAAATCCACTTTTGATTAATCCAGAA